GAACACCTTGAACTGGAGCTGGGTTCTAATTCTTTGTAGTGCACCAGTTCATGAGCGCGATAGGGCGTGAATGCTCCGTTGTGAATCTAGATCCTGCCAACGACAAGACGAACTACCCCTGTGCGCTAGACATTCGCGACTTAATTACTTTGGAAGAGATCATGAGCGACGACCAACTGGGACCTAATGGAGGCATATTATATGCGTTCGAAGAGCTCGAGAACAATATGGAATGGCTCGAGAATGGGTTGAAGGAGCTGGGAGACTCGTATATTCTTTTTGATTGTCCCGGTCAGGTCGAGCTATATACGCACCACAACTCGCTCCGGAATATCTTCTTCAAGCTTCAAAAGATGGGCTACCGAGTACGTGCTTCGATGGAGATGTCACCTGAAGCGTGTTTACTGACAAAACGCAGCTTGTCGCCGTACATCTCTCCGACAGCTTCTGTCTTACCCAACCGTCTCTCTACATCTCCAACCTCCTCCTAACCCTCCGCGCCATGCTCCAGATGGATCTCCCTCACATTAACGTACTCACAAAGATCGATAAGATCTCGTCGTACGACCCGTTACCCTTCAATCTTGACTACTATACCGAAGTCCAAGACCTATCGTACTTATTGGGATATCTAGAGGAGGAATCACCCGCAATGCGTAGTGACAAGTTCCGTCGACTAAACGAAGCCGTCGCTAATCTTGTTGAGAACTTTGCTTTGGTGCGATTTGAGGTGCTAGCAGTTGAGAACAAGAAGAGCATGATGCACCTCTTGCGAGTCATCGACAGAGCCGGAGGATACGTATTCGGCGGCGCAGAGGGAGCAAACGATACAGTTTGGCAGGTCGCAATGCGCAACGAAGGGTCCATGATGGAAGTGCAGGACATCCAGGAGAGATGGGTTGATGCGAAGGAGGAATACGATGCGGCGGAGGAAAAGGAATGGGAAGAGCAGCAGAAGAGAACCGGGGGCGATACTGGAGCCACGACGCCGGACCTAATTCCAGACGATGACGACGATGAGTTCGATGGTATGCCGCCTCCTACGGGAGATAGTGGAGTGAAGGTTATACGAAAGAATCAGTGATACCCTTTCAACCGTCACTTATTTCCCCCATTTCTATATCGCTACCTTCGTCCCCGATGCCGGGTAAGGCTGGTATTGCAACTTCACGACGCTGCGGTCGTTCTGATTTTCCAAATATGTTACTCAGAGGGTCGTCATCAGTCTTCTCCTTCTGGTCGTTTTGCGCCGCGAAAATGAGGTTCCGAGCGCGACGAATGGCTTCTTCCTCTGCTTTACGCATAGTACCACTAACGTGGACAACACGGAATATGCACGGCTTCCCGTTCTTGACAGGAACGGAGGTCATAAATGTGAGAGCAGCCCAGAGTAAGCGATATGATGATCGCGAAACTCGCAGAATGAAGGTCGAAGTGGCATGAGAGAAATATTTTACTTGCAGGGTTCATGTGAGACTTGTATATCTCATGAAGGGTTTCGCGTTGCTGACTCACCAGATAAGTTTCCGCCCTCGAGAGCACCTGAGCCAAAATCCCCGAATAAACTGGCAGCCTCTGCGCGTATACCTTTAAGGAGAGCAGCAGTATTGAGTTGGTCGGTCGTGGGCTGGTTGATCACAACAACATCGGGGAGGTCAGGCCGGCTGCCGAGTTCATTCGGGTAGAGAATCTTTACTAGGAGATAACGCTCCTTGATTCGTACCATTTTATCTGATTTGAGAGACCATCCAGTTCTGAGTGATGTAGAATTGTGCCGACGTATAGAAGTCTGATGGAACTATAATCGGGACTTCAACTCGCCTGTTAGTTGAAGTCCGAATTACGAGTGAGCGGAATTCGACCAGGAAATTTTCGGATCCTGCCGGAGCTTTATCTTATCGGAGCTTTGTAACGTGCATACACAGTGCCATTTAGTCGTGATTTACAGTTTTACTGTATGACATACTTGCTGCTGGATAATGTCATTGTATCTCATACTCGGGTTCGTTCTCTGGAAGTCGCAGCATCTCACTCTACATCCAGGGAAAGTCCATGCTGCGCCTTGTTCCTTTGTGTTGATCAAATGTATTTGGAAAGACTGCCCCAGTCGAAAAGGGCGACCTCGGGAATTGGTAGCTAATGAATTCTCGCCCCCCGCATTTGCACTGTAATGAAGCTTCTCTTATACATGACGCCGGCCCAAGCTCCTTATACTGAATCCCATCAATCACTTGACTAGACGAGACTCGATATACTCGCTTCTCAATTAAAGCCCCGTTTCATATATACAGTTAGGGCTGAGTTCACTCTCCGATGAAGTCTTATGACTATCTGCTCTCTCATTAGCAACCATGTCTAATGCTACATTAAGCGTCGCATTACTCATTGTGTCCACGACGGCAGCTAAAGATCCTTCTACAGATGCCTCTCAAGCTGCCCTCAGCGATGTGATTGAGAGGGAAGGAGACGGAAAATGGAACCTTATTGACACTAAGATCGTTCCCGACAATGTTACTCAGATACAGCGACAGATTATGATGTGGACGGATATTGCGGCAGAAACCATCAACCTCATCTTGACCACCGGGGGCACTGGTTTTGCAGTAGCCGACAACACCCCAGAGGTACACCAGACCCTTCAAAGTGTAACCAAAATACGTAGAAGCCTGGCTAACTAAACCAGGCCGTATCAGTCCTACTCCATAAGCCAGCACCTGGCATCGTTCATGGCATGCTAACAGCTTCTTTGAAAGTTACTCCATGTCAGTAGATTAGTTTGCTATGTAATGGTGAGAACACCTACTGACATCGAAAAGTTGCCATGATGTCTCGACCAGTGGCAGGTGTCAGAAACAAATCCGTAATCGTCACGCTTCCCGGCTCACCGAAAGGGGCTCGAGAAAACTTACAGGCAATTCTGAAAACCTTACCACACGCTTGTCTCCAGGCCACCGGCATGGACTCAAGACCATTACATGCAGGTGGGGTTAAGAAGCTCGAAGCAGAAGCTGGCATTAGACCGGGCGGAAGGCACTCGCATTCTCATGACCATCATCATGGCCCCGGAAGTGCTCACCAGCATAGTCATATTCATGGGCACAGCCATGGCCACGGGCACAGTCATGGCAGCTTGGTCAGACACACGGCACCTAGCTCAAACCCAATGTCCAATGACCCCAGCCTTGGTCCTAGCCGGAGGAGTAGAGAATCGCCATATCCCATGCTTTCGGTCGACGATGCCCTGAGCAAGATTGAAGAACACACCCCGCCGCCAGAAATCGTCACCTTTAAAGTCGACACGTTATTGCCCGGTCACGTTCTAGCCGAAGACGTCCAAGCGAGAGAAAACGTACCCGCCTTCAGAGCAAGTATTGTCGACGGATATGCAGTTGTCGTTCCCAAGGACGGAAATTTGAAGGGCGTCTTTCCTGTCGTCTCAGTATCTCATGCTGCCCCTGGCGATATTAAACCCCTCAAGGAAGGGGAAATAGCTAGAATAACAACTGGAGCGCCACTACCGCCAGGAGCTACTTCTGTTATCATGGTCGAGGACACGATTCTGAAAGCTATGACTGAGGATGGCAAAGAAGAAAAGGAGGTGGAGATTCTAGCTGACAACGTGCAAGAGGGAGAGAATATTCGTGAGGTTGGCAGTGATATCAAGGCAGGGACGACGATTCTCAGCAAGGGTGAACAGATCTCAGCTGTCGGTGGCGAAATAGGTCTCCTTGCTGCGGTCGGGGTTGCCGAAGTGAAAGTCTACCGTAAGCCCATTATAGGGGTACTATCTACCGGGGATGAAATCGTCCAGCATGATCGACCCGGCGATTTACGACTTGGAGAAGTACGCGATACGAACCGCATTACCTTAATGTCTGCCGCGAAAGAACGGGGGTACCATGTCATCGATCTCGGTATCGCGGGAGACAAGCCTGGTACGTTAGAAGAGACGCTAAGAGACGCCTTGCGACAAGTCGATTTGATCATCACCACCGGAGGAGTCTCGATGGGCGAGCTTGATCTCCTGAAGCCGACAATCGAGAGGTCATTGGGCGGGACGATCCACTTTGGCCGCGTTGCTATGAAGCCAGGCAAACCGACGACTTTTGCTACTGTCCCCGTCAAGAACAATGCCGGCGAGCGAGTCACGAAGGTCATATTCTCCTTGCCGGGCAATCCTGCTTCAGCTATCGTTACATTCAATCTCTTCGTTTTGCCTTCTCTCCACCAGATCTGCGGCGTCTCGCCGGTCGGTTTAACGAAGGTCCCCGTCACCCTTGCGCATGACTTCGTCCTAGACAAGACGCGGCCCGAATACCATCGCGCCACCGTCACGGTGGGCGAGGACGGCAACTTGATTGCCGGTAGCACGGGCGGCCAACGGAGCTCCCAAATTGGCAGCCTGAGGGGTGCTAACGCCCTATTATGCATGCCCACTGGCAAGGAACCTCTCAGGAAAGGGTCAAGGGTGGATGCTCTTTTGATGAGTTGGCATTAGAAACGAGTTCTAAATCTGCACTGGTCATGCTAGCGCACTTAGAGCTCTGGCGGAATATTGCCTGCGTTTGACGGATCATGTGACCTTCATACTTCTGAAAGTCTGTATGATCATCCATGATCTTTCGTAACCGACTTTCTCATAAGTAACATTCCATATATATTAGGTACCTACTTACCTTATAATATGAAGCTAAGGCCTTGGTAATATTGCCAGCCAACCTCAAAAAGCATTATCATTAAGACTTCTAGCACGCCCCAACGAATTAGTTTTTCCACCACTAACTCATAATGAGATCCCCCCTTTAGTACTAGTAGGACTAGTGTGACAGCCGGCCGGTACGCCAAGTGGGTTTTCCTACCATCGCTTAATTAGGGCAGCCCCATCCAGAGACCCGTCGTCCACCCATCTGTTGAGCCTCAAATCTATAAACGGACATACGATGCCGAGTTTTCATCCAGAGGGATCCAGTCTCTCACAGGTTCTCAAATGAACCAAAAGCGGGCTTGTGGTTTAGTGGTATAATACTCCCTTAGCATGACACGGCGACGATCCACCTGGTTGAAGCGGTCTGATTTGGGAGTGGTCCGGGGTTCGATTCCCCGCGAGTCCATCGTGTAGAGGTTAGATTCCTCTTGTGCCACCCTTTTTTGTTTGGTGCCTTTTTTTCTCACTTTTTCATTGTAGAGCTGATGATCTACGCAGCTGCCTTATAGACATTCCGTTTCTTTTTATTTTCCCTTACTGCTCTGAAATCTTTAAGCAGAATGTCCAATCTATTAGCGCTAAAGAGGTCATAACATCATTCCTTCGTTTATAATAGCCTTTGCCAGCCTTCTATACCAACGCCTGATCTCTGTGTGATAATTTGAGGCGAGTAACTGTCTCAGCAAGCCCAACTTGGGGGTTTAAGCAAATGTAGCAGGTATAACCCTACTCATGCGTCGTTCTCGGGGTATAACATCCAAAATCAACTAGTCTGATATAGCAATGCTCGTTTCAGTCTCTCCGTCCCCCGGGTCTGGCCCAGTCTTACCTATCATCATACCATTTTCTACCACTATACTGGGCACATGCTTCCTGGGCACCCAAAAAAGCTGCGCAATGCCGATTAGCCCAACGCCTGCGCAGCTGAACCAAGCGGCTGCAGAGCCACCAGCACTGTAGATGATACCGACTACGGGAGGCGACACAGTTCGCGCTAGACAACAAGCTGACATGGCCAGCCCATTGACCTTCCCTAGCACCGACGGCGACGGTGTGGCGCCTTTAAGTAAGATAAGCGCACAGGGAATAACGACAATGCCGAAAAAGCACTGCATGATCATCGATAGGTATATGGCAGGGGATACGAGAAGGGGTGGCATGGCAGACACGAAGGGCATAAGCACGTATGCGAGGGGATATAGCATGATGTTGAGGGAAAACGACTTCCAGACTCCCACACGGTCGACGAAGATGGGGAATATGACGCCCTGGATGAAGAGCCCGACGATTCCGTTTACGGACAAGTAGACGCCCACGTCGTGAACGGTATATCCTAAGCCACCGACAAAATCGATTTGGCCTGGGGGCGTTGCCGGCTTATTCAAGAGGTGGGTGGGCAGAAGAGTGCTGAAGGCTATCTGATGGTATGAAACGAGGACCAAAGCAGTGGTCACCATAATAATAGTAAAATTGAAAGCTTTCCCGTCGAATCTCTCATTTTGCCTGGGCGGCGCCGGAGGTAGCTTGATCGAACACACGGTCCCGAATGATGATCTCCTCAGATCGAAGATCTGCTCAACGGGCACCGGAAGGCTCTCCTCGATAAACACTGGCCTGTCCATGGTAGTCCGCGACTGGCTCCTAGCAGATGATCTTCGGCCCTTGGGGCGCTGGAGCGGAGTCCGCTCGTCTATGATATCGTCGTCATCCTCGAATACGGCTTCGTGAGTGGCCCGGTTACGCCGAGGGTTTGTCTCTTCCAAGAAGAGCGCGCCCTGGATAATGGCCATAATAATGACGGCCACCGCGACCAGGTTCGGTAGGAGATATGGGTACCTCCCGAAGAGGCCATCGGCGGGAAATAGCGACGGGTAGAACTTCGCCGGTTGAGCTAAGAATCCTCCCATGCCGGATCCTATTATGCCGCCCAAGGTCCACACGAAGGGCTGCGAGGCATAGGCCTTCGGTTCGTGCGCCGGGTTCTTGACCATTTCGGCCACCATCGTTTGCATAACCTGTCGTTGAGGTAAGCACTTCGATCGGAAATACGAATACATGTCGTGAAGTAAAGGGAGAAAGACGTGAAGTCACCCACAGCAACATTCCCATTCAATGCTCCACCGATAAATCTGGCCAATAACGCTACCCAGTACTTATTGGCCAATCCGAAGATGAGGCTCGAAATAGCCACGCCTCCGAGCCCGAATAGGACAACCGGCTTCCGCCCGTATCGGTCGGAGAGAGACCCCCAACCAATAGCCGTAAGAGCTTCGGCAACCGCGTACGCCGAGACTAGAAGACCGGCATAGAACGATGCATCGGTGTCATCCCCGCCGTGGAGATCCTGGACCATCACATAAGTGTAGGCGAGGATAGAATTGAACGCGATCGGCTCTGAGAAGCGACATATTGCTATGAATTGGATTTAGTTAAGAGTATATCAGCGTTAACGAATTTTTATAGGGGTTGAATACCAAGTATAGTGAGCTGCTTGGTAGGAAAGGCGTGTGAAGTCGGATCCGGCGTTGTGTCTGAAGACATAGTCTACTCTACCACCAATACGGTAGATGTGCACTTTTCTTCAATCTATTATCTCTAGTTGCTCTAGTAGCTCTATGGTTGGAGAAGATTGCTGATCCCACCCAGCTTGAAGAAGGTGGTTTAGAAGACGGGTTCGGTTTTGCTGCTGTGCGGGGAAGCACGCTTTGCGAGGTCGGCCTGAGGGACAGGGGACGGGGACGCGGGACGCATCGTCGATCGCTGTCCATTCTTTGGAGTTTACTCAGCAGAACATCCTTGCATAGGAGGTATATACTCGAGATATGGTTTCACTATAGGTTGGATAGGGGATCACAGCATGAGGCGAATGAACCGAAAAGGGCGGTATGCGCCCGGTGAAGGGTACGAATGCACCCGTTTCGTGTGGTTAGCCGTCAATAAACGGCACAGCTCCTAGATCGCCCAACTCCAGTTCCTGAGTCTTCATATACAGTATGTACTATTACCAAATCATCCATAGACACCGTTCTTTATCTTTGGTAGTTGGGTATATATGAAGATATATTTCATTTTTGGACCTGTTCCTCGACTTGAAAGAGGTATGGAGATTATATATCAACGTCCTCGAAGGGGTTACCACTTGGTCCCAACTAGCTCTGCTAGTCGTCTTCGCCTGAATCACCATTGTCTTCGCTGATAGAACCAATGAAAATCGACTTAGCGGAGCTGAAGATACTGTTGACATCAACATCGTCCCTATAGGTATTTTGTTAGTTAGTTCCGGAAGAGACTATGCCAGATTAAGGGGAAAAGGGGATGTAGCACACCGGCCATTAGGATGACCAGAGCGGTCTAGGAAGCTGAGATGCTTCTTTCCGTTTGTTGACTCGCCGAACCTCACGAAATGAATCGAGTTGTTGTTCTTATCCAGCCCCTCTGTCGTCCAACGCATCTCTCAATGGCGAGAGTGGCCGCACCACACCGCAGGCCACCCCTTCTCTTATCCCCCAGTCTCCATCTGCAAAGACGTAGATGCTTGTTGGCTTCTTGAAGGCTTTAAACTTCGTGTCGAAAATTCGGTTCAGCAGGTACGGGATGATCATCTTGTCAACGAAGCCCCCGAAGAAAATCTCCGTTACAGGCGGCTCCCGTTGGTATTGTCAATTTCTTGCTTCGGCGACTACGATGCAAGTACCCGGGGTTCGACGCAAAGGAAGCTCAATGCTGGGCCCCTCAAGCTGTCTTGCTAGGTATAACATTGCGGGAAACACCTTGTCGACCAATCTCGCGCGTTCTCTGATTGATGTCGTGTCGTCGACGAAAATTAAGTGATGTCTGTCGGGGATATTGACGTTGAGTTCGTTCACGCGCTCTTGTATTAGGTTGCCTATGCTAAGTAGTGCCCGTAGGGCTTAGGATGAGGTGTAGTGATGTGCTACAAGGTGTCCTGCTAGTATATGGCAAAGTTTGGGGCGGACGCCTATGGCTACACATCGGAATTCCCCATTCAAAGGGGTTGTCCTACGGTGCTCAATTAGTGCGTAACCGACAAAACCCTTTTAGGAAAGTAGACCACTCAAGTTTCAACCAATCAAAGTTTAGAAAGCTCACGATCGCAACCTCAATTACAACACAGCACCTTAATCCAATATTAATTACAGTATTAATTACAATATAAAGCTAAAAACACATCTTTTAAATTTATTATTATCGAGTAACGTTGATTTTTTTTCCAATTTTAATACGTACGAAAAGAGATTATTTCAAAGGTTTAATATTATCGCAAGGTAACCCTACTTACAGTGTAATCTTAAAAAGGTTAGTGCGTAACTTAAAAAGGTAAGTGCGCAACTGAAAAGGGCAAAGCGTGCTACTTTTAATTGCTCCTTTTGGAAAGCGGTGTAAGGCTCGGAGACTTTTTTTCTTACGCCCTATAAATTCAGCGCTTACATACGCTAAAGACCACTATAAATATAGTAGGTTATAGCGCTTAAGGCCCTATAATTACAGGGCTCAAGATAAATCGGACCAATTTTCGTCCGCGAATCTTCGTTTTGTCGGTTACGCACTAATGGAGCACCGTAGTTGTCCAGCACCGACACCCCGCTCGCGCCCGATATTCTTACGAAACAGAAGCCGGAACAAGGAATTCGAGTGAGCTTGCCTCAGGATGCCAATTACCATACATCCTGATTCAGCAAATGTTGGCTTTACCGAATGTATCAATGATACTGGTTTTCTGGTGTTATGAATACCTAGGTTGATTTTAGAGAGTGATGCTTGCATGGAGCCGCGTAGAAGTGGAATGAGCGCGGTGACGCTTTGTGGCGTCCGCCTCGGAACTCTTCGATCTATTTGATCATCGTCAAATCATAGACACGCTCTCTCTGCAAACCTCATCGGCGCCTAATAAACAGCTTTCAATATCATCGAAATTATTGGCTGATGGGAGCCTAAAAGTCTTTCCGGTACGTTTCTTGTTATAGGAGGTTCGTTTATCTGTGACATCTCACACTTGAGACACCCCGAGAGTTATGTCGAGGTCTCGAAGTCTACGTCAGAATAGTAATGATGGCAGTTTTACTAAGGATGAATATCCTGAAGTATTGAACAGGAATGAATGTCGAAACGGAACCTTGACTTCAATACGAGGAGAACCGATATCGGCTTAATGTTCCTTAATATGATGCGTGCCAAAGATTGATCAAGCACCCTTTTAAACCCAGACAAGCACCACTCTCCCTTTTCTCCCACAAACTGCTTGTCACAGGCTCCTCGTATCTATAATGCTAATTTCAGCGAACTGGTTTATCAGTGGACTAGATGCACAGAATTGCCTCTTTTTTTGATAAAAAATTAATCCCTGGTCGCAGCTTAGAAAATCATAGGTTCGCTATTCAGACACAA